TTAATGCTACTAAATCGTACAATTAAAAATTATTAAAATAGCAAATTGTATGTTTTATGTAGAGCCACAATTTTTAAAAATTAATAATGTAATATACCAAAAAGCATTGAATTATACAATTTAAATGGGTAAACTGCATGATATGTGAGTTATATCTCAGTAATAAAGCCATTAAAATATGCATATAAAGATTATTTGGATGAAAATATCATATGTACAGCATTATAAACTAGCAGATCCACCGAATTTGAAGATGCCTAGGTAAAGATAATTCACAATAATTTAGTTATATTAACTGAGGTTTGGGATCTAATAAGTAACTAGCCTAGTACTTATAGAAAAGGATAACAAAATTAAGATTTGGGCAATCAAAAGAAAAAGTGAACATACTAAGGATACCAACTGATGACAGATATAAACAATCTGCTCAGAGTGCCAATTTTTCTAGGGATTCAAAAGTATTACTGTATCTACTCTGTGTCCCCTGGATGAAGATAAGCAGCATGTGGACTAGCATTTTATTTTATTTTATTTTTTTTATTTTTTTTGCTGTACACGGGCCTCTCACCGTTGTGGCCTCTCCTGTTGCGGAGCACAGGCTCTGGACGCGCAGGCCCAGCAGCCCTGGCTCACGGGCCCAGCCACTCCGCGGCATGTGGGATCTTCCCGGACCGGGGCACGAACCTGTGTGCCCTGCATCGGCAGGCGGACTCTCAACCACTGCGCCACCAGGGAAGCCCTGGACTAGCATTTTAATAGGCAATGTGAATCATCTGACATTGATACCTAATCAGAAAAGACCTTAGTGTTGGACGATTCAGAGAGAGGAAGAGAGAGAAACAGCATGCCTGTCTGTGACAGTACAGAAAGATATTACTGTAAAATTATCAGCATTCTGTCCTAGATCCAAAATAAATCAGAAATAAAAGGGGGGGGAGGGTAGTGAACAACTACAATGCTTTCAAAGAAAGTGAAATTCACTTTTAATCTAAGAGGACTATCACTTTATATACAGTAGGACAGCTTCACAAAGCATTTACTGTAAAACACCAATTTAACTAATAAATGAGACTTTTCATTATTGTGGATCATATACCCCAATTCTATACTCTCACACAAAATAAAAGATTATTTGCAAAACAGATATTTTGGTATAGAAAAAGATTTTTAAGTACTTTAAAAACTTGTTTTTTAAAAATGAAATAACTTTTTTCTAAAATTCTTCTGAAGTGCAAAAAATCACTACTAACAATTATTTTATTAATGTGGACAAAGTCTATTAACAATTTTTTAATTTCATAGAAAAATAACCATTCAAAACTAGATCCCAAAGGAAATACAAATTATGTATTATCTATTTATCTCTAGCATACTAAGTTATTCTAGCTCTTATATCAATTAAAGGATGGGGGAAATTTTGTATTCCCCTGATATATAATCTCCTATAACTCATTCATTTGTTATTTGACCCATTTATAATACCTCTCCCTTAGCCCAAAACTATTATTTAATTCTTTCTAATAGCTTACTATAAAAAGATGGGCCTGTAAAAAAAATATTGTTTGGAAATAATCTAAAAGAAAATTTAAAAAATCTGTCTGTGAAAGGTAAGGATTAAACTATTCCCTTATCTATGAAGAGGTACAAGAGACAGATATTCTTGCATTTCAATTATTTTAAATTTGGATTATAAGATGACACTATGGGGAAAACAAAGATACCATAGTGCTCATACTGGGCACTTCAGACACCAATGATTAGCTAACTCCAAATTATGCAGGACTTCAGAATGTCCACAAAATTCTCAAAATTGTATTCATTGCCATTGAAATAAATATATACCACGGAGCACCATTTAGCTGGTACTGGAGACGCAGAATAGCCTAATAAAAAGCAACTATTCTAGAGCCAAAACAGTGTGCACAGATAACTTTTAAAGGGCATTAACTGCTTATGGAAAGCCTGACTCCTAGTGGTTATAAACTATGGCTACATAGCCCCAAAGGACTTTTTTCTTTTAAAATGCACAGTGTGGGGAATATAGTCAATAATAGAATACCGTTATATGATGACAGATGGTAACTAGACTTACTGTGATGATCATTTTGAAACATACAGAAATATCAGATCACTATGTTGTGTACCAGAAACTAACATAGTGTTGTAGGTCAATTATACTTCAAAAACAAACAAACTCATAGAAAAAGAGATCAGATTTGTAGTTATGAGAGGCGGCGGGTGGGAGACGGGGAATTGGATAAAGACAGTCAAAAAGGTGCAAGCTTCCAGTTACAAGATAAATAAGTAATAGAGATGTAATGCACAACATGATAAATATAATTAGCAGTGCTGTATGTTATATATGAAAATTGTTAAGAGAGTAAATCCTAAGAGTTCTCATCACAAGGAAAAACATTTTTTAAATTTTTATTTTGTATCTATATGAGATGATGTTTGCTACACTTATTAAAAATCATTTCATGACGTATGTCAGTCAAATCATTATGCTGTACACCTTAAACTTATATAGTGCTGTATGTCAATTATATCTCAATGAAATTGGAAGAAAAAACAAGTTTTGAGCAAGTATGGAAAAGAAAATAAAAAGAAAAATCAGGTGTTTTCATTGGATCTCAATTTCTATCAAATTAAAAGAAATCCTTGCCGTTACAAATATGAAAGCTGGCTCAAACTATATTTTAGCTTATATTATCTCCATTTATTGTACTTCATAAAATCATCTCATCTAAATTCCTTATTTCACAGACGAAGAATATGAGACTGGAACTAGGTCTTGAAAGAGCACTTGTAAGTCTTCAACTGGCAGAGAAGATAAAGTAACCCAGAGGTCAAGAAGCATACCATGAACAGAAACTGAGACAAAGGAATGTACATGATGTATTTAAAGAAACCAAGCAGTAACTTTTAATGGAGTATAAAGTCTGGATCCGGGAGTTGTGAAAGGTCACCACCAGCCCTGCTACTACTACCACCACAATCCCATTCCCCAACCTGAAGTCCACTTCAAAAATCTTCAGAGTGCTGGGTTTATTGGGGATTTTTTTAAGATTAAAATAGTAACTATACATAAAGTGAACTGAAGGAAGTGGGAATGGGGTGTGAGCGACATGTAAAAAAATCTCTGGGTTAGCTGAGGTTGGAAATGGAAAGGAAGAGAGAATATGAATCAGAACTTCTGGAAGGAGTGCTGGTTCTGAGAAAAGAAGGAGTTTATGCATTACTGTGAGATGATGATAACAATCAACTGGAGATATAAACAGTCACCTGAAGATGCAACTAAATGTTTGTGTAAAGCATTGTCTTTCAACTCCAACATTCTAGTTCATGCAGGTAAGGAAGAAACTGAAACAATGAGGGAGGTTGAAATTCCCAAGGAAAAAATACTGTAGAGCAAGCACAAAGAGCAGAGACCTGACTGCATTTAAGAAGACCTTTAGTTAAGAGCTGAACAAAGAAATGAAGGAGAAAGACTAGCCTCAGAGGCAGGAGAATCAGAACATAACCATAAAGGCTGAGAAAGAGGGGCCACCTGTAGAATAGAAGGCTTCAGCGCCCAAGGAGGAGGAAAACGGAAAAAAAGGCTGGTATAGGATCTAGTAACTTTAGAAAGCGGAGTTTCAATAGTTATGTATGTGTATTTCTAAAAAGAAGTAAAAGCTTTTAAGAGGGAAAATGAGTAGCAAAATATGGACAGAAAGAACATAGCCTAGGTTTCACAGAGTTTTGAGAAGGATTAAAGACAAATGTACAAGCAAAATATTTCAAGAATGCAGTTTTCTTAAATATAAGGTACAGTTATTTCTGTGCAATCCTTGTACATATTCCCAAGTTGCCAAGAGTAAAAAAAAAACAAAGAAAAAATGTTTTAAGGACTTATTTTCCTTTATGTGAGACCCACCAAAAAGTATTATTTTAAAACATAGGTGTAATTCACAGGGTCTCTATATTATGTTGGAACATGTGTAGAATATCAAAAATACATACCCAAGGCACGATAAAACTTTATACATAAAAAAACCTGACCTTTCTCCTACCCTATGGAATGATTTTCTTTAAGGCAGTGAAAACAGCTATGGGAATTTGACAGGAGGAGGCGCAGTCATCCCTCAGTTTCTGTGGGTACTGGTTCCATGATACTCTCATCCCCACGCCCATGGGTACCACAATCTGAGAGTGTTCAAGTCCCTTATACAAAGTGGCATAGTATTTGCAAGTAACCTACGCACATCCTCCCCACATCTGTCCCATATGTATACTTGAAATCATCTCTAGATTACTTATAAAACCTAATATAATGTAAATATTATATAAATAGTTGTAAAAACAATGTAAATACTATGTAAATAGTTGCCATTGTGTGGCAAATTCAAGTTTTGCTTTTTGGAACTTCCTGGAATTTTTTTTCCCTAATATTTTCAATCCACAGTTGCTCAAATGAGAGGATGTGGAACATGTGGATATAGAGGGCCAACTGTATAGCTAAGATAATTGGGCAGTTACTAAAAATAAAATTCAGTCCATAATCCAGCCTGAATCTGTTACCAGCTCACTTTATACTCTTAGATAAAATAATTTAGTGTCTTTAAATTTTAAATACAAATAAAATGCACATACCACACAAGAGGTTTACTTCTATTTACTAATCGGTCTACTATGTTTCATATTCAAAAAAAGAAATCAGAATATACAAAAAGATACAAATTTTAAAAATGCGATTCACTCTTCAATTGATAAAAGAAGGCCTCAGTTAACAGAATTTAAAAATATTCCCCATCTACGGGAAATATTAAATGTGATGCAATTTTCTAAAATTTATCTATGCATAACTTTTCATTGTAAAAAGTAATCCTCAGATAGCAAACTTGCATAAGAACACCACCAAATGGCTTGAGGTTACACTAAATAAAGAGCAAAATGGGAAAATGAGAACTGAATATCAGGTTCACTAAAAAAATTTACAGACATAAAATTTCACTTACCTTTTTAAACATAACTAGTGAGATGACTGCTGATGCTGTGAAAAGTGCTGCTATGATTATCATCATGATTCCAACAGGAATACTTTTGTTGAGACCAGTAAGGGATGAAATCCAACCACTATGAAATTAAAAGAAGAAAACTAAAATTAGGCAAATAAGTTAATGCACAATTTTTAAAAACAGCATAATAACTAACACATTTTCAGCACTTACAATCCAGGCAACATCTAAGTTCTTTACACGTATTAACTCATTTAATTCTCACAACAACCCGCTAAGATATATGCTATTTTTAATCCCTATTTTACAGATAAGAAACTGAGTCACCAAGATTATTCAAGATTTATCTGAGTCAGCAAAATTATTCAAGATTTATCTTGTAACTGGAAGTTTGTACCTTTTTGACAAAAACAGCACAGTCTGAATTCAAGCCTAAACACCAAATTCCAGGGCCTTAAATGTGTACCATGAGATTTTACATTTTTTAAGCCTCTGATTTCATTATTATTTTTTAAAGTTCATTTTAATTATGTAAAAAAATATTTGAGAACCACATATTCAACAAAGGGCTAGTATCCAAAATATATAAAGAAACTTCAAAGCTCAACAGTAAAAATAAATTCTTAAAATTAAAAAGTTTCAAATAGAAAATGGGCAAAGGACTTCCCTGGTGGTCAGTGGTTAAGAATCCACCTGCCAATGCAGGGGACACGGGTTCGATCCCTGGTCCGGGAAGATCCCACGTGCCGCAGGGCAACTAAGCCCTGCACCACAACGACTGAACCTACATGCCACAACTACTGAAGCCCACGCACTCTAGAGCCCGCGCACCACAACTACTGAAGCCCACACACTCTGGGGCCCGCGTGTCACAACTACTGAGCCTGTGTGCTGCAACTACTGAAACCTGTGCTCCTAGAGCCCGTGCTTCACAACAAGAGAAGCCACCACCACAATGAGAAGCCCGCACACTGCAACGAAGAGTAGCCCCCACTCGCTGCAACTAGAGAAAAGCCCAGGCGCAGCAATGAAGACCAGCGCAACCAAAAAAAAAAGAAAATGTGCAAAGACACGAAAAGACATTTCACCAAGAGGATATATAGATGACAAATAAGCACATGAAAAGATAAAACATCATGAGTCATTAAGGAAATAAATATTAAAACCACAGTGAGATATCATTACACACCTATCAGAACAGCTTAAAAAAAAAAAGTAGTGACAACACCAGAGGCTGGTGAGGATGTGGAGGCTGAATCACTCATATGTTGTAGTTGGGACTGTAAAATGGTACAGCCATTCTGGAAAATACTGTCAGTTTTTTAAAAAACACTGAACAGGGAATTCCCTAGCAGGTCCAGTGGTTAGGACTCCCTTGGCTCTCATTGCCAAGGGCCCGGGTTCAATCCCTGGTCAAGGAACTAAGATCCCACAAGTTGTGGTGTGCAGCCAAAAAAAAAAATCATCTATAAATAAATAAATAAATAAAAATTTTTACAACACTAAACATGCAACTTCCATATGAACCAACAATTATACTCTTCTCTTGGGTATTTATCACAGAGAAATGAAAACTTATGTCCACATAAAAACTTGTTCACGAATGTTTTTAGCAGAATAGCCCCAAACCAGGAACAATCCAAGGTCCCTTGGACTGGTGAATGGTTAAACAAACTGTGGTCCATCCATACCATGGATGCTGCTCAGGAATAAAAAGGGATGAACTACTGAGACACAACAATCTGGATAAATCTCCAGAGCATTATGCTTAGTGAAAAAAGCTAAAGTTTACAAACTGTATGATTCCATTTATATAACATTCTTGAAATGACAAGCAGATTAGTGATTGCTGGGGTTAAGGAGGGAAGTGAATGTGGCTATAACGGGCAGCATAAAGGATCCTTTGGTGATGGGAATGTCCTGTGTCTTCACTGAATCAATGTCAAGATCCTAATTTTGATATTATACCATAGTTTTACAATATGTTACCACTGGGGAAAACTGGATAAAGGATACTTGGGATCTCTCTGCATTATTTCTTATAACTGTCTGTGACTCTACAATTATCTCAAAATAAAGAGCCTAATTTTTTAAAGTCTGCTAAAGTACATGAGGTCTATCTTACAACAGGTCACCTTGTATGCACCGTCACTAGCAGATTCCTGTGCTATTTAGTCACTTCACAGGCTGCTGTGCTCAATTTTAACACTTTTTTCTAAGTCTGTTCTAAAAAGCAAAAGAAGGGCTTCCCTGGTGGCGCAGTGGTTCAGAATCCACCTGCCAACGCAGGGGACACGGGTTAGAGCCCTGGTCTGGGAAGATCCCACATGCCGCAGAGCAACTAAGCCTGTGCGCCACAAATACTGAGCCTGCAAGCCACAACTACTGAGCCCACGTGCCACAACTACTGAAGCCCATGCGCCTAGAGCCCATGCTCCAGAACAAGATGAAGCCACCGCAATGAGAAGCCCATGCACCGGAACGAAGAGCAGACCCCGCTCACCGCAACTAGAGAAAGCCCATGCACAGCAATGAAGACCCAACCCAGCCAAAAATAAATAAATTTATTTTTAAAAAAAAAAGCAAAAGAAATTATTTAGGTTTCATTAGAATACAAAAAGTGCTGTTAACATAAGCAGTATTTTTTAAATTAAACATTTAAAACATTTCCTTTCTCTCAAATGCTAAAGACTAAACACTTTTTAAAATCATAATGAATGCTACTCTTTCCTAGAACTGATTTAAAATACCCAAATAAATTCTCTGCATGTATATATGCCCATTAGATCTGCAAAGCTATCAACAGCTGTCTGACTTCCAGTGACTACTCTAATTCAGTAGTAGCATACTAAATGTTAAGTCTTCAAATACACTCTAGTTACATGATCGTTTCAGTTTATGTACGTAGCACAGCAAAGTTGCCTCGCACATGCTTTTAGCTTATAAAAATTCAACTGTACGCAATGGTTGTAAGAGAAAGAAGAGAGGGAGGGATGATTTTATACATAGGTACTCTTCTATGCACCACTTCACTCAAGGAAATGTTTGCTCCAGAGTGTCTGAAGAGAGATATAAATCTATGACCTTCTAACCTGTGTCCAAATAGTCTCAGTTTCTGAGGGTCCCCCACTGAGTGAGCATTTTGCCAGGCTAAGAACGATTCTATTTGTTTAAAGATATGTCCATATATGTGCATGCAGTGACTCCACTTTTCAAAGACGTGTGTGTATGTGTACGCACACGCATTTGTGTGTGTATGAAAATATATGTTTGCATACCTAAAATAGCGCCTTACACATAACAGGTAGCCTTTTCTTAAATTCCTTCAAAGGTTATTCCTTAGGAAACTTTTAAATTGCCTTTTTTATTATTTGTATACTTTTGCTAATCTGGTTTTTCTCTGTCAAATATTTTTAGGAATCCAAAAATTACAGTAAGATACTAGATGAACAGTTTATAACTAGAGTAATTAAAGTAAATGACTTACCAGTTACCCCAATTATGAAATCCTGCAGCCTGGAGTACATGTACAGCAAACTGACAAATATAGACGAAAAAGAATACAAAGAATCTGAATGAACTGTCACTCCTGTTTTTAAAAAGAAAGAGAGTAGGGAGAAAAAGAAAGGGGAAAATGTCATTGTTCTCAATGCCTTTACATTCACTTGTAGACTGACATTCAAACATTAAAAAATATTTTTAAAAATACCAGTGGCAACTACCTGAGACTTGAAATTAAAATAACATAATAATGTATGTGAACCGTTTATCCAAATACTAGACGGTGTTGTTATTATTATTCCAGCCTCACTTTGTCCTTTCAATTTCCAACTCCACCACAAAACATCTTGGCAAAAGAAAAATTATTCTGTTTTCCTTTTATTTTTTATCAACTAGCTTCACTGAATTATAATTAACATACAATAAACTGCAAGTATTTAAAATATACAATTCGGTAAGGTTTGACATAAGCATATAACTATGAACCTTCTCTAATCAAAATAGTGAACATATTCCAAATTTTTCCTTGTGTTCCTGGTTACTCCCTCCCTCCCCACCCACTGCTTTCAATCACTATAGTTTCGTATTTCAGAGTTTTATTTAAATGGGATCATACAGTATACACTTTTTTCTTGTCTGCCTTCTTTCATTCAGCACATTTTCAGACTCACTCATGCTGCTGCATGTAACAAAAGTCCATTCTTTTTCATTGCTGAGTAGTATTCCATTGTATAGTACCACCACAGTTTGTTTATTCATTCACCTGTTGATGATCAGTTAGATTGTTTCTAGTTTTTTACTTCTATAAATAAAGCTGCCATGGACATTCATGCATATGTCTACATATGAACATATATTTCTTTTTCTCCTGGGTAACTACCTAGAAGTGGAATGGCTAGAACACATAGATATAAGTTTAACATTTTTCTAAATTAATTAATTTTATTTTTGGCTGTGTTGGATCTTCGTTGCTGCGTGCGGGCTTTCTCTAGTTGCGGCGAGCGGGGGCTACCCTTCGTTGCAGTGCACGGGCTTCTCATTGCAGTGGCTTCTCTCGTTGTGGAGCGTGGACTCTAGGCGCATGGGCTTCAGTAGTTGTGGCATGCGGGCTCTAGAGCGCAGGCTCAGTAGTTGTGGTGCATGGAGCTTAGCTGCTCCACGGCATGTGGGATCTTCCCAGACCAGGGCTCAAACCCATGTCCCCTTCATTGGCAGGCAGATTCTTAACCACTGCGCCACCAGGGAAATCCCAAGAGTGTCTTTTAAAGAAAAATTGGAGTTCATGAAAAGACAAAACTTATCAATTTGTTCTTTTATGGATCTTGATTTTATTGCTGTATCTAAGAAATCTGTGCCAAAGACAAGGACACAGTTTTTTTTTTTTCTTGTCTTTCTCCAGAAGTTTTATCTTTTTTTGGTTTTACATTTAAGTCTATGTCCCTTTTTTAGTTAATTTTTAAAATATAGTATGAGGTATGGATTAAAGTTCTTTTTTGCATACAGATACACAATTATTCCAGCATAATTTCTTAAAAAGACTGTCCTTTCTACACTGCATTACCTTTGTACCTTTCTAAAAAATCAGTAATCTATATATGGGTGCGTTTATTTCTGGACACTCTATTCTGTCTCATTGTTCTATATGTCAATACGATTACCTGGGTTTTCTAATAAGTCTTCAAATTTGTAGTACTAATCTTCCAACTTTGTTGTCCTTTTTCGAAGTTGTTTTGGCTATTCTAGACTATTACATTTCTATACACATTTTAGAATCACCTTGTTCATTTCTATAAAAAAACATGGAGGGATTTTTATTGGGATTGCATCGCATCTATAGATCCATTTTGAGAGAATTCACATCATCATAATGTTGAGTCTTCCAATCCATTAACAAGGTATATCTCTCCATTTATATTTTCTGCATAGATGATTATGTAATCTGTGAATAAAGACAGTTTTACTTTTTCCTTTCTAATTTGATGCCTCTTGCTTGGTTTTCCAGCCTGTTTATACTGGCTAGAACTTCCATTTCAATCTGAATATAAGTGGTGAGAATGAACATCCTTATCTTGTTCTTGATGTTAAGCAGAAACCCCTTTCAGTCTTTCACCATTAAGTATGATGTTAGCTGTTACCGTTTTTCAAAGATACCCTTTATCAAGTTGAGAAAGTTACCTTTTATTCCCAGTTTATTGAGTGTTTTTATCATGAAAGTGATTGTTGTTAGATTTTGTCACATGCTTTTTCTGCATCAATTAAGATGATCATATGGTTTTTCTATTTTAGTTTGTAATACAGTGAATTACAATAACTAATTTTCTAATATTAAACCAACCTTGAATTCCAAGAATAAGCTGCACCCACTTGATCATGACACAGTATCTTTACACATACTGTTGAATTTGATTTGTTTGGCAAGATTTTCAAATGTTCTAAGTTTACTCCATTCCTGTTCATCCCAGTGACTATTCCGACCCCAAAACACATTTTTGGAAGTCTTCATTAGAGAAGATTTGTCCCTTCCACTTCATTTATTTATCATTTGTTTATGTGAGCATGGCTCATAGATATTTTCTTTCTTCTTTTTAATTATTATCTTGCTTTATTATCTATGTACCAAGAAACCAGAATATCAGAATGGTTAAAATTATGTATGTAATATAGTCTCTGAATAAGGGCTTCATAAATAGACTAATTCTAAAGGCTTCATAACAGCTATTTCAGTTACCAAAGAGGGATCTTTCTACTTAGTTCCAAGCTCAGAGATATAGTCTAGAAGCTGAAACTGCCTAATAACAACCTCTAAGAAATCTATCACAAGGTACAGAATACGTTTTAAAACTTAAGCTGTCCTACTAAAAAGGAACTACTTCTAAAACATTGCTCTCAAATACAAATGGACGAATGTAAAAATTGGTTCGCCTTCCTCTTTTATAGGTACAGTTAGTACCTATAAAAGCACAGCTAGTATACTAAGTTGATGAAATGGAAACCTCGGAGTCCTTAAAACTCATTTTTTCTACTTTTACTATTGAAGGAGGCTAAATATCTTTCTCAATAGACTGTGTTTGCCTCATTTTATCAACCAACTTTCCTGTTTCTGGACAAGGAGACGGTAAAATTCATTTTGTGTACATTTACCATGCTAATATAAATGATTATTTAAAAAATATTTCAACTTTCTCTGAGATTTAAACTCCACGTGCCAGCACTTACTCAACTATCTGGACTCTTACAAGAGTGCACAAATCTTCCTCTATCTAATCTGTCCAAATTATTACAAATGTAAAATCAAATTCAGATTTTTAAAAGGTTACTTTGTTTTTAACTATACAAAGCAGTCACTGAAAATATAGTTCTTCACATCAAAACAATATAAAAAAGTGAATCTAACTCCCCTGTGAAAACGATTTTACAATACCAGGTTGCAATTCCCTGCCGAAAGCCTAAAATTTATTAAAGACATATGCAAAAAACTGAGGTAGGCATAGTGCTAGAAAGCACATTAAGTATAAATAATTTCCCGTATACTAAATAGTAGAAAACTCTGTAAAGTGTAAACTTAAACAATACAATCATCACATGAATTTCAAGTTCATTTGAGTTGCTTTAAGAGCCAGGTAAGGCTGCGAAGCTCTTACAGGGCCAGATAACCACTCCCTACCCCTCAAGTGGAGGGCTGTACCAGAGCCAGAATCAGAAAAGGTCCAGAAGAAAAAACATCATTGCGGGTGTAGACAATGTCTATTGGCATCCCAAATCAAAGGCGATGGGTCTTGTATATAGAAAGAGGTTACCAAGCCGACTGTTTAAACAACCCAGCTTGTACACAGCCATTTTAATCCAAAGAAGAAAGAGTAGAACTACAGTTAGAAAAACACTATCAATTGATTTGAGCTATAAGTAGTTTTAAATTGTAATCCGCCTCAGTTTACAGTGAAGCACTTGTGGTATTTTGAATATTTATTCATAATAGATCCAACTATGTAACCAATTTCTTCATCAGAATAGATAAGTAAATAATAAAAGCTTCCTATTGCTTGCCATCCTGGCTCTTCCAGATCAAAGCCTATTGGAAAACTTAATCTCAAATAAGCCAGTTGTTTTTGGTTTAATTGTCTTCAAATAACATACTGACAAGTTATAGTACACCTTTCATAAAAATGTCCTTCCCTAAATTATTATTAAAAATCTCAGAAAAACTGTATTAAGATCACATAAACCTTTTATTTCACATTACATATCAATAACAGAGATTAATCACAACTACAGTTTGAGGAATCAGGGAAGACCAAGTATTTCATTATTTTAAAAGGGAGAACAGAAATTTTACATTTAATCACAATAAATGGGTACAACTTAACTAAAGTACTAAATGTTTTACCTTTGGTAACTCAGCATAGTAGTTAACAGCATGTAGCTTTAGAGAAAGATTTGAGTTTGAATCCAGACACTTCCAGTTAAAGTTGTGTAACTTCAAAGAAAATTTAGGCCTAAATCTGAGATTTTCTATTTGCAAAATAGGAACAACAGTGGAATCTACCTTTATATGGATGAAATAATACATGTAAAGTGCTTAGCGGGGGATGTACAGGCACTTAGGAAACAATCAATAAATGTTACTTGTTGGTACCTCTCTTACACCAGTACAGTACTGCACTGCAAACAATTTTGCTCACAGAAGTAATATTCTGCTTACAGACGTGACATTTAGCTTCTGATAAAATCTTGAAAATTTCTGGGACATGGTTGGTAACTTCATTACTACCAGAATCAAGTAATACATGAAATTCCTGATGATGCAGATGATGTAAAGGCAATAGAATAAAAAGGAACCTAAGAAATACAGCTGCTTTCCTTGTCTTAGTCACTTTGAGATACAAGGCTATCTAAACCAGCCTCATTCTCCCCCTAATGCTTTTGTGCCAAAATCAATTCTTTCTCCAAGAACAGGGCTCCATAAGTAGGCTTTAAAAGGCAGCACCACGAACCCACCCAAATTGTACATAATATTTTGCATGTCTGTATCTTTTTAGGAAGAGGAGTCACAAATTTTAGGTCCACAGTGGAGTCTGTGATATAAAATCT